AGCAGCAATGGGAGGCCATACAAAAACCTATAAAAAATGGAAACCAGCAGGAGCGTGAGGAGCCCTAAAAAGTGGCACAGGGGCGAGGGGGAGCAAGGGGAGGGGGGGTACGGGGCCCAGGTCCCTGGGGCCCAGCAGCAGCGTGCCCCAGGGGGTTTAAAACCGCAGGAGTGTGAGGAGATTTCAAAGTGGCACATGGCAGAGTGGAAGCAATTGGAGGCCGTACAGGGACCCAGGTCACACTGTGGGGCCCAGCAGCAGCGTGACCAGGCGGTACAAGGGGCCCATGGCCGATTTGGGGCCTGGCGGCACCTATAGGAGGCCTGCAATCTGCCAGCAACCTATGTCAAAATGGAAAAGCACAGGAGTGTGAGGAGACCTCAAAAGCGACACATGGCAGAGTGGGAGCAAATGGGAGGCGGTACAGGACCCAGGTCACACTGTGGGACCAGCAGCAGCGTGACCAGGCGGTACGGGGGCCCCATGGCCGATTTGACCTGTTCATACCGCATAGTCCATGCCGACTCACAAAAACAGCGTGGCCTCCTCAAAGGGCCTGAGCAAGCGCAGGTGTTTCACGCATGAGCTGCCAATGGCTGACATCTAAGTTACACAGGGAGTACCTTTATCCGGCTTTTAACATCAGGAAATCTGTGATGGCCTTTCGCTGTTCGTAAGGCGGTCATAACATATGTAGGGTTGAATTACACCTTGTTGCAACGTCACAGCATGAGGAGTCGGTAAGGGGGCCCATGGCAGATTACGTGCCTGGCAGTAGCAATGGGAGGCCGTAATCTGCCAGCACCCTATGTCAAAAAATTCAACACCACCAGCAGTGTGAAGAGACCTGAATGTGGGGCACATGGCAGAGTGTGGCGATGGAGACAGCAGCAATGGGAGGCCCGTAACAGGGACCCATGAGAGACTCTGGACTTGGCAGCAGCATGAGGAGGCGGTATATAGAGGCCCATGGCAGATTAGGGGCCTGGCAGCAGCTATGGGAGGCCCGTAATCTGCCAGCACCCTATGTCAAAAAATTCAACACAACAGCAGTGTGAAGAGACCTGAATGTGGCACATGCAGAGTGTGGCGATGGAGACAGCAGCAATGGAGGCCCGTAATCTGCCAGCACCCTATGACAAAAAATGGAACACAACAGCAGTGTGTGAGGAGACCTGAAAGTGGCACATGGCAGGGCATGATTGCATGGCGGATTAATGTCAGTTGTGTCAGGAACTGGTGGTTTGAAATCCAGACTAATCCACGCCTGATTCATTTTCACAAACGTGAGTCTCTCCACACTTTGGGTGGACAGTCGTGTCCTCAGCGGAGTTACAATACCTCCTGCCGCACTAAACACGCGCTCCGATGCCACGCTACTGGCCGGGCATGAACAGCCTTTCAAGGGCAATTTCAGCTAGTTGGGGCCAAAGGTCAAGTTTTCGTTGCCCAGTAGTCAAGGGGATTGTCTAACCTCGGTTGGCAGGGTGCTGTCCAAGTAGGCCCAAGCCTGTTGTTTGAGGTACTCCTGCTCCATGTCCACCTGATGCTGCTGCTGCTGCTGCTGCAGCTGGTTAGTAGTTTCCTCACTGCGCTGGTGAAGAAAGCTACTCATCATCGACTGCAGACTGAGGCAGCCGCTGCTGGTGGAGCTGCCACTGCTCCTACCACCCCACCCCTCCCCTGCTGCCATGGCAGCGGAACGCGAGCGCACAGGGCCCACAGTGTCTGAGGATGGACGTTGGCGCACAAAGGCAGAGACCAACTGACTACATAGGTGGTTTTTATAGTACGTAATTTTGGCCTCCCTCTCAACGCAGGTGTGAAAAAGGCCACCATTTTGGAACGATAGCGAGGGTCCCAACAAGGTGGACAGCCCAAAAGTCATCCCTCTGTCTGATGGTTATTATTCGGCTGTCGCTACGCAAGCAACCGAGCATGCTATGGGCCCATTTGTGCCAAGGAATGCGAGGGACTCCCTGCCTCCATCTCCACAGCATACTGCCACGGTGCGTCTGGGTCCTCTGTCTCCTCCTCCTCTACCAGATGCTCCTGCTCCTCCACTCCTGTCCGCTGAGTGGAAAAACCACCCATTTCAACTCAATAATTCCTGAGCACAAATGTCCTCCTCTACCTCCTCCTCTTCTTCCTGTCCTGGCCCCACAGGGGTCATGTGGCGTTGAGATCTGTGCGCCACGTCTACCGCACCCTGACCAGCCATTGTTAACAGCATTTGTTCCAGGACGTGCAACAGAGGAATGACGTCGTTCATCCCATAGTCCTGCCGACTCACGAATAGCGTGGCCTCCTCAAAGGGCCTGAGCAAGCGCAGGTGTCACGCATGAGCTGCCAATGGCTGACATCGAAGTTACACAGGGGAGTACCTTTATCCGCTTGTAACATCAGGAAATCGGTGATGGCCTTTCGCTGCTTGTAAAGGCGGTCTAACATGTGTAGGGTTGAATTCCACACTTGTTGCAATGAACAACTTTAATTTTGAATCGGCATCGCAGATCAGGCGATGCTGTGGAATTCCGTTCTGCCGCTGCAGCTCAATGAGGGTGTGCTTTGCGGTGTAGGAATGGCTGAAATGCATGCAAAGTTTACGTGACATTTTAAGGATGTCTTGCAGTGGGATGGTGGATTTTAGGAACCGCTTGACAACCAGATTGAACACGTGAGCCATGCATGGCGCATGGCACAACCTTCCTTGACGCAGAGCAGACCACCATGTTCTTTCCGTTGTCGGTCAACATGGTTCCGATTTTCAGTTTGCGCAGAGACAGCCAATCTGTCGATTTCTCTGTTCATTACACTCAGAAGTTACTCCCCTGTGTGACTACGTTCGCCAAGGCATACCAGGTGCAGCACAAGCGTGACAACCGTTGCGCCCTGCACATGTGATATGCCGGTCGGGTAATGGGACTTGGCACGGGGGTGGCGGCTGAGGACCACGGCGGAAAAAGAGGTGGTAGAGGCGGACATGTTTGCTGGACCAAGGACGTGCAAACGTGGAGGCAAAAGCGTCGTGACCTGTCCAAGTTGCTGGTGCGGCTGTGCCGGCACACGTTCACCCAGTGGGCCGTAAATGACATGTACTGTCCCTGACCGTAGTTACAAGCTCCACACGTCGGCGCTGCCGTGCACTTTGGCAGAGACCGACATGCTCAAAGACTGGCCCACCATCTCTTCTACATGTGAATGCAGGGCTGGCACTGCCTTTATGGCGAAGAAATGACGGCTTGGCACTCTCCACCGCAGCGCAGGCACAAGCCATCATTTCTCGGAAAGGTGCTGAGTCCACCAGTTGGAAAGGAGGGACTGCAGCATCTCAGCAACTTGGACAGGAGGACGTTCAGCTTTTGCACCGTCGGGTGCGTGCTCGCAAACTGTTGTCTCTTGGAAACGGATTCCAAGAAAGACTGCTGACGGAATCCGAGAAGAGGAGGTAGCAGGAGAAGGAGCATCTGAACGAGCGGAAGATGCCAACGAGCGACAACTCCCCTCAGCAGAGGTGTTGGAGCCTGGACTGGCTGATAGAGGGTGATTGACGACGTCGGGTGACGGAGCAAGTAACGGAGCGGGTGATGGAGCGGGGGCTTTTTTTTTTTTTTTATTTTTTTTTCTGGGGCAGGCAGAACCGCCGTATCTTTATCACGGTTTTCCCAGGCCACCAAATGGTGACGCTGCATATGCTGACGCAACGCTGTAGTCCCAAACATGGGCCCCCTGGCCACGCTTGCATTTCTGGCCACATAGTCGACATACGGCTACGTTTTACTTCCTCGGGCGGCTTGACGAAAAATTGCCACACCACCGAGTAGGAAACTTTGCCCCCGCTACTCCTCACTGGCTGACTGCTACTTCCTCCGTGCGCACCGTCACCACTACTGGCCGTGGTGGTAGGCTGCAGTGGAGCTGGTGCTCTACTCCGTGGACGTTTGGCTCCACTGACACTGATGCGACCCTGCTGCCTCCTGGGCAACCCACCGACTGTTTCGCTCGCTGCCAAACTGGCACCCTCTACTCCTGATGATGCGGAAGAAATTGCCTGATGACGACGAGGCAGCCAAGTGCGATCAACCTCCTCATCATCAAGTAGGGTCTCCCCTCACTACTAGCCCCCTCGGCTGCGTCTGGGTCAGGAGACAGACCTGTCTCTAGACTGGCTACCGAGCCACTCTCCTCGCCAGTACTTGTTCGCCTGGCTGCTGAAAAGGCGGATGTCTCCCCCCGTTCCTGACCGCCCTCTCTTAGCTCTTCCTCACTGTACAGTGGGGCTGAGCCCACAGCATGCGATACTTCGCTTGGTGAGGGAACAGCAAAGGACAGGGGCAGGTAGAGGACATGTGATTTCAGTGGGCTTGCTCCCGGGCCATGCCAACTAACGGTTGTGTCTGACGTACCCACCGACCGTTGGCTGTAGGTGTCAGAGGTGACCTGGGAAGAGGAAGACAACCGAGCCAACCAATCGATGACGGCAGGGTTGTCGGTGGAGACACGACCGCTGGATGACACCGGGAGCACTGGCCTCTGGCTGTGAATAGTGCTGCCTCGACCCCTTCCTCTGCTGCCACGTCTGCTCGCTCCTAAAACATTGCCTCCCTCTGCCACTCCTCTGCATGTTGTCTGACATACTCTTTAATTCAACGATTATGTGTCCCTGAGAAACAATTCTGTGTCCCTGAGTAACAATTCTGTGTCTGTCCGAGTAACAATTCTGTGGCCCTAAGTAACAGTTCTGTGGCCCTCAGTAACAATTCTGTGTCCCTGAGTAACAATTCTGTGGCCCTAAGTAACGGTTCAGTGGCCCTCAGTAACAATTCTGTGTCCCTGAGTAACAATTCTGTGTCTGTGCGAGTAACAATTCTGTGGCCCTAAGTAACAGTTTTGTGGCCCTCAGTAACAATTCTGTGTCCCTGAGTAACAATTCTGTGTCTGTGCGAGTAACAAATCTGTGGCCCTAAGTAACAGTTCTGTGGCCCTCAGTAACAATTCTGTGTCCCTGATTAACGTTTATGTGGCCCTAAGTAACGGTTCTGTGGCCCTCAGTAACAATTCTGTGTCCCTCAAGAAACAATTCTGTGTCTGTCCCTGAGTAACAATTCTGTGGCCCTAAGTAACGGTTCTGTGGCCCTCAGTAACAATTCTGTGTCCCTGATTAACATTTCTGTGGCCCCAAGTAACGGTTCTGTGGCCCTCAGTAACAATTCTGTGTCCCTGAGTAACAATTCTGTGTCTGTCCGAGTAACAATTCTGTGGCCCTCAGTAACAGTTCTGTGGCCCTCAGTAACAATTCTGTGTCCCTGAGTAACAATTCTGTGGCCCTAAGTAACGGTTCTGTGGCCCTCAGTAACAATTCTGTGTCCCTGAGTAACAATTCTGTGGCCCTAAGTAACGGTTCTGCGGCCCTCAGTAACAATTCTGTGTCCCTGTGTAACAATTCTGTGTCTGTGCGAGTAACAATTCTGTGGCCCTAAGTAACAGTTCTGTGGTCCTCAGTAACAATTCTGTGTCCCTGAGTAACAATTCTGTGTCTGTGCGAGTAACAATTCTGTGGCCCTAAGTAACAGTTCTGTGGCCCTCAGTAACAATTCTGTGTCCCTGAGTAACAATTCTGTGTCTGTCCGAGTAACAATTATGTGGCCCTAAGTAACAGTTCTGTGGCCCTCAGTAACAATTCTGTGTCCCTGATTAACGTTTCTGTGGCCCTAAGTAACGGTTCTGTGGCCCTCAGTAACAATTCTGTGTCCCTGATTAATGTTTATGTGGCCCTAAGTAACGGTTCTGTGGCCCTCAGTAACAATTCTGTGTCCCTCAAGAAACAATTCTGTGTCTGTCCCTGAGTAACAATTCTGTTGCCCTAAGTAACGGTTCTGTGGCCCTCAGTAACAATTCTGTGTCCCTGATTAACGTTTCTGTGGCCCCAAG